AGGAGGAGGAGGAGGAGGAGGAGGGGGGCTAAGGAGGAGGAGAATGGTTGCAAGACACACACACACACACACACACACACACACTCCCTCTCTCTCCTTTGCAAGACCGCTACACGAGATGGGGCCGCAATGCGTGGGGAGAGATGCGCCGACCCACGCTGCGAGTTGGGGATAAAGTCACGCGTCGCGAATGTGTCCAAAATGAAGAGTTTGAAATGTGATTGTCTTTCCGAATGCGCAACGGGGGTAAGCAGCAGTTTGTGAAGCGTGTGGGGAGCAGCGGCGAGCGATTTGAATTGGTAATGGAGCGAGACGGGGAGCATTTGGACTGATTGGATCACGAATTCGTGATTCTCCGCGCGCGCGCGTCACTCGCGACTCGCACGCGTAGCTGCAACCGCGACCACCACATCCCCCACCTCTTCATCATCATCTCCCCGCCACCGCCAATGTGGAATGCTGGGGCAAGCATCGCAGAGAAGAATCAGCAGCAAAGAAGATGGTGCAAGTGACGACGGTATATCCATCCGCATACTTTACACCTGCCGAAGTGACATTTCTGTCCTGCGTACCCAGCGATCAGAGAAGTCTCCCCGGCGCCGCCGCCGCATCCTCCTCCTCCTCCTCGTCATCATGGCACCCGCAAGCGCACAGTCTGGACGTAAAGACGACGCAATCCATCCAACATCTCCTCGCGCTCATACAATCCCTCGGCGCAGCTTTGCGCTTCCCGCAAAGAACTTGCAGCACGGCGCAAGCGGTGCTGCTGCGTTTGCTCTTGCATCACGGAGCCAATGGCAAGAGGATGGCGGGCATGCTGCTGAGCGGCGGCGGTGGCGGCGGCGCTGGGGGGCAAGAGGGGCAGCAAGGGCAGGGGCAACAGCAGGGGCAGCAGCAGAGAGAGGCTTTGGCTTGCGCTTGCATCGCTTTGGCGGGCAAGCTGAACGATACGAATAGAAAGATGAGGGATGTGCTTTTGGGAAGTTATAAGCTCAGGTTTCCGGATCTGGTCAGGAGGGGAAGAGTGGTGGGTGCGGGTGCGGGTGCGGGTGGCAGAGCTGCAAGTGCCGCTGGACGCGCCTCGAATGCGACAATGTTCAGGCTTGGGAATGTGGCAGAGGCGGACATTGACTCCAACGTGAGTGTGTGTGTGCGCGCGCGGGCGGGCGGGGCCAATGCCTTTTTTCGTTTCGCCCCCCCCCCTCTTCCCTCAACTCATCTCGTTCTACTTGAATGGGACCGCAACAGGCGCTGGAGATGGAGAGGAGGAGATTGTTGGGTTTGGAACGCATGCTGTTGGAAAGCGTGGGATTCGAATTCGGAGCTTCGAACAGGGTTCAGAGGACTTTGAGATATCTGATCAAGATGATGCGCAAGTTGGGTGTGGGTGTGGGCGTGGGCGTGGGCGTGGGTGCGCAGAGTACGAGCGGGTCAGATGGAGCAGCAGCAGCAGAAGCAAAAGAAGCGAAGGACCCAGCGTCGCACTGGCAACAACGAGGATCGCAGCATTTCGACTTCGAGTTTGAATCGACGGCTTGGCAAGTGTTGACGGATCTGTTCAGGACTTGGCATTGCTTGCAGTACACGCCCGTCACGCTGGCCATCACTGCCATCTATGCCACCGCCTTGTTGTGGCAGGACAGTGTGGTGGCTGTAGGTGTGCAGGCGAGCAGCGGCAGGGGCGACGACGACGCTGTGACGGAGGGGCAGGGGCAGGAGGAGCAGGCGGCGCGAGGACAAAGGTTTACCAGCAGACTTGTAGATGCGAAAGAGTGCGGATGCGCTCTTGTGCGCAGGATCAGGAGAGTGGTGGAAGGATTGGAAGGGCAAGAAGAGCAGGAGCAGAAGCAGGAGCAGGAGCAGGAGCAGGAGCAGGAACAGGAACAGGAGCAGGAGCAGGAGCACTGCGAAGAGTTGCGCCGAATGATCAGAGATCAGCTCAAGGTTCACATCGAAGATGTTCATGGTGCGTAGGCTTGAACGCAGTCCAATGTACCCCATCGAACGCGCGCACCTATAATGATGTCACCTAAACCCCCCTTTTGATTGCGCCTTTGCCTTGAGAAGAGGTCCTGCATGGTCTATTGGACATGTACAGCTCCTCCATCTCTGCTCTGACCACCAGCACACCCTACACTACCCCAGCCACGCCCGCCACGCCCGCCTCTCCCTCCGACCAACTCGCTCACCTTGCCGGCAACGCCAACGCTTCGTCCGTCCCTAGTCATAGAGCAGGCCGACCAACTGCGCGCTCTCAAGCTAACAAACCCTTCCAGACGGCGACGGCGACGGCGGCGCAGCAAGTGGAGAGCGAGAATCATTGGTTCAGGCTAGCTAGGGAAGCTCAAGCGGACGTGCTTGGACATGGACCAGCGGAGAGGAGAAATGCAAGTGGGAGCAGCGGTGGAAAAGAGGGAAAGAACAAGGCTAGGAGTCTGCCCAAGGAAGCCGTCGCTCCTCCTCCGTTGGGCCTGCTGGCGCTCTTCGAAAAGGAGCACAGCGCACTTTTCGTTGCGACTGGTACGAGCGGAGCGCGAGCGCGTGGACATGGGACGAGCATGCAAGCGGTCAGAGGCAATCGGACCGCTGCTGGTCCGGCTACAAGCGCTACAAAAGGCGCAAGTTCCGTCAGCGAATTATTGAATAGCATCATGGAGCTCAAGATTGCGCTTAGGGAACGCGAAGATGAACGTTTGAAGAGGGATTTGAGATTGTTGGGGTTGCTGGGAGGTCCGCTCGAAGAAAGGAAAGAGGATCACGGCGCTTCGTCGGGTCGACAAATCGACATTCAGATGGATCGCGCCGGGCACGAGAGTCAAAGGACGAAGAAACGATGCAGGAGTAGAGGCGCTGGAGCTGCAGTCGGAGTCGGAGAAGCGGCTTCTTCATCGCACGCGTGGGAGGAAGAGGAAGAAGGTGCAGCGTTGTCGCTTCGAGCAGCTAAGAGGAGAAGAGAAAAATCGAGCTTGTGCTTGACGATGAGAGGTTTTGAAGGGTGCAACGTGAGGGCTGAAGAGGCTCCACCAAAGGGGCTCGAACATGCGGCTGGACTTGATGGGCACGGTAGCGCGACGGCGGCCACAAAGCGAGAAGATGCATCGCGCTCGAACAATCAGAAAGACGTCGAGGTGTCTGCCGATCAGACCACTCGGCTACCTTTGGGCTCCGACGCGAGCGCGAACAATCTCCAGAATGCCCAGACTCCATCATTGGCGGCAATTCGGCAAGCAAATGCGGATGCGGATGCGGATACGAGCATACAGCAGCCGGCGCTTGCGCCTCCGCAGCAACAAGAACAGGATAAGAGAAACCTCGTCACGCTTACACGCTTCTTGTTCTGATCCTCCTCCACCCGCCTGCGACTCCGATCTCATCCACTGAGCGCATCTCAAAATGTGGGGGGGCTGAAAAGGAATGCTTTTGTGCGCATTGTAATGATTACCGAGTCGACCATTCACCACCCCTCCATCGCAATCCATCCATGCTGTGCTCCAACGCTCCGTAATACCCTGATCGATTTGGGGAGGGGGGTGTCGAAACAGCAGATGCCTCTCGGTCCTGAGCTCAAATCATATATAGCCTTTCAAGACCACACCCGCGTTTGTGCACGCTGGCTCAATCGCGAAATCGCGAAATCGTCACTTGAGACTTGCGCACGCGGGGCATTGCCAGTTCAAGCCGCATGCGGATTCGCGGCGCTCAGTCACAGTGCAACTTCGAAAGCCGAGGGGAGAGCGCAGCGAGCGCCAAAAAAAAAAAAAAAAAAAAAAAAAAAGCCCGACTTCAAAAACGTTCGCTGCACGGGACGTAGATTTGCAGAGAGCGCCCAAAAAAAAGGGCGACTTGATCAGAATCTTTCAGCGCCATTTTACGAATGCGTGCGATCTAAAGCCTGCCAACGGCACGCCAGGGCGGATCTATGTGATCGTCGAATGCGATTGAATTGCGACCCATGCGAAGGACCGACAAGACGGGGCACCTTGTGCGGGTCACACCCAAATTCGACTTTTCACCCCTCCCTTTCCTTCCTGAAACGACACCACGCCCCGTATTGCTTCCTCTTCTCTTCTCTTGTCCTACTTTGGTGCTTCCACTCCCACATTTGCAATACCCCAACGTCTGGCGGGGGAAAACATCGATCGTCGGATCAGTATCGCGCTGCTCGTCTCGCATAACATTTGCGCCACACTCACCCAACAATCTGCATAGCCCTGCTATCGCCCTTTGCAATCTCATCATCCTTCAAAAGATCCGCCAACGCCTCCCAAGGATCCCTGCCCCCGCCCCACTTTAGCACTTTTTCCCTAAACTCTTCTCCCGCTCTTCGATCCAGCGGATCTTTGGCAAAGATTTTCTGCCAGACTTTGGAAGCGATGGCGCGGTCGAATAGGTAAGAGTAGTAGGTGCTCGCATAACCTACCAAATGACCGAAATGCGCCTGAGAGTGCACGCTGCTGGGACTGGGAGTGAGCAGAGATTGACGCGCGTGCAGATCAGCCAGCGTCTGATCGGATGAAAAGTCGGATGAGAGGACGTTGGAAGTGTGATAAGCTTGATCTAGCTGAGCTAGCAAGATCTGTTGATGCGTATCGATAGCTTCTAGCGAACGCGAAGCCTCGACGTGTTTGCGTAGCGTCGAGTAGGCCAAGGAAGAACCGGTAGAGTGATGCCGGGCAATCAAGGAGGTGACGCTTGGACAAGAGATGAAATGCTCCATGAGGATGGATGGCAATTCCACAAAATCCGTAGCGCATCGTGTGCCCGAAACTTGATGATACTCTGTCCTTCCCAACATGGCTAAGTGCGTGACGAGGGCGCCGCGAAGAAGGCTTTTTCAGTCTGTGCAATCTTGGCATTTTGCGCCGACGCGACTCACAATGAACAGCATGGCCCATCTCGTGAAAGAGCGTCTCCACTTCGTTCCAGCTCAACAATGTCGGTCCTTGTCCCACAGTAGGTCTGACGAAATCGCAAATAAGCACGACGACGGGCAATTGGTATTTTCCCTCTTTCCCAGCCACGCTAAAAGATTCCTCTTCGAGCGGTTGGCAAGCTTTTTGCATCTCTTGCTTTTCCTGCAAAGAGAGCTCGTCGATGGGTGCACCAGGTAGACCGTAAGCTAGATCGCCGGCCAGATCATCCACGTCTGTTCGACGCGAGCATCGGACAGTGTAATGCGCAGCTCCTCCAGCTTTGCCTTGTCTAGAGAACAGATCGGCATAAATGACGCCCACCAATTCTTCCGACTCGTTCATCACTTCGATCCTCTTCACCCCCTCTTCCCACACCTCTCCATCGTCCGTCTGCACCACGCGAAATCTCAAGCCGTACAGCTTTTGCAAAAGTTTCGAAAGACCTGAAAAAAGCGTTCCTACGCTGTAAAAGGGAGAGATGGGAGTGGTGGAGGATTGTAGGGAGATGGATCGAAGGTATTGCTGCGAGTAGTAATCCCTGTCCCACGCTGCTATAGCTCCTGACGAAGCGCCCTGTTGTTGCTGTTTGAGTTGCAACAGCTCTGCAAGCTTGGCCCGAGTCTTGAATCTGTTTTCCGCATCGAGAGCAGCCAAAAATTCGTCGACGTGTTCTGCATGCATGCGATGCGTATGAAGGCGGATACATCAAGTCCAATGCTATTGACGCACGCGCACGCGCACCCTACTCACTAGGATTCTTGGCCATCTTGTCTCCCAGAGTGAGCTCTGCAAAGCTTTCGAAACCAGTGACGTTTGCCAACTGCGCTCTTTTGCGCAGCATCTCTTCCAACACCTGGACCTGCCTCTGGCTAGCCCCGTGCATAGCTTCGTAAGCTGTCCTTCTAGCCCTCTGGTCCGGTGCGTACTTGAGCAGCAATTGAGCTTGCCAACTTGCCACCGGTACAAACATGCCTTGACCCTTGTCGCTGCTGCTGCTGCTGCTGCCGCCGCCGCCGCTGTCGGCTTGTCGAAGAGCCGCCTTGACACCCGCAGGCAGACCGCTCAGATGCTCCTCGGGTATGAACCTCGCCAAACCTCTCTCTTCCGCCTCATCCAACGTGGGACTCAAAAATTGTCGACCAAGCCTGACCAGATCGCTAGAGAGGTCGACAAACTTTTTGCGCGAAGCTTCTTGCAGATGTATGCCCGACTTTTCGAAATCCTTCTGAAAAGCCTGACCCACGCTGAGCGCTTCTGGCGATAGAGAGGCGCGAAGGCTTGCATCGGCTAGCACTAGAGAGACTGCCTGTTGTGCGGGTGGCGAGTCAGTCAGTAATCCATCGCTATCGACACGCCCCTTCTTCCCCCCCCCCCCCCCCCCCCCCCCCCCACACACACACACAACTCACGTCGTAGAGCGGTCTGCTAGTGTTGAGTACGTTCATGTAGTGGCATAATTGCTCGTAGGCGTCGTTTGCGCTCTCGGCCCACTGCGCATCCGGATGAACATTTCGGATGAGTTCGCAAGCATCGATGACTCTGCAAAGCGTATCGCTAAGTCTATCCAACAACCTGACCACTCCTTTTAATTCTTGCGCGTCGTTTCGTAAAGAGGCAAGACTGATGCGTTGCACGAGCAGTTGAGAACGAGCAATGGTGCGTTCGACCAGAGAGGGTAGGGCTGAAGGAGAGGAAAAGGAAGGCAGACGAAACAGACCGCTTGGAGGTCGCGTGTAGAAAGGAGTGGCACGGCTGCTGGATGCCAATGAAGAATCTGTAGGCGCATCCAACACCGCTCTCAACTCTTCGTCGTCCCTCTCGTACGTCGAAGTGGCGTGCGTGTGAGGGTGCGTGGGCGCATTCGCTCCTGTCGCTTGCAATTGCGAGGCGCTCCTGCTCGTGCTAGCGCTCCTGCTCGCGCCCCTGCTCATCCAGGCCCATCTGACTGGTCCATGCGAGCCAATTCGGACACTTGCGAGACCTGCAGGTGAGCGCGCAACAATCCCACAAGGTCCTCGTCGTCGAGCAGCATCGCAGTAGGGTCTGCTACTCGCACTGGCACATGCGCTCGCAACACCGCAGCAGCCTCGCGTTGCCATTCCAGCAGCAGCAGCAGCAGCAGCAGCAGCAGCACCACCACCGCCACCATTCGTAGCAACACCAGTCGCGCTCTTGAACATTCTTGCTCGAAATCCCTTTTGTCCCTTTTCGGTGCCCTTTCCTCCCGCTTCGCTCCTTCTCGGTTGCACCCCGTGCTGGCGGCCACCTTTCAAGCTCCCCTTTGCGTGACGGGAAGACCAAAAAAAGAATTGAAGAGGGCGCGTAATTTGAGCAGAGGAATAGACGACTTCAGAACTGCTGGTCTGAGCTTGAAGAGTTGAAAGGGGGGCGACGTCGACCGGACCTTCTACCTGTAGAGCTCGATCGATCGCGATGAACCCACGCGGATGTGTGTTACATCTTTTTGTAAAACCGCCGCGCCATGCAGACACGCAGTCACGTGATGCGCTTCTTCGTACAGAAACACGCCCGCATGCATGGGCCTCGTTGCCGCTCACTGCGTCACCATCAATCACACTTGCAAAAGGTCATCAAACATGTGTATCGCATTCCGGACGTAAATCAAGAGGGGAGAGAAAAAAGCAACACGACACAACAAAGACACGACACGACGGATCGTCTTCATATATGAATATATGAAAAGAAGCAGAATGCGCACGCGCACGCGCGTGCACGTGCGATGCCTTCCTTTTTTCCAACCACCAAAGGGGGGGTTTTTAAGCTTGGGCAGAGGTCAACTTCTGGTTACCACTAGCAACGCCCTTGAGGTACTTTTGAAAGTCTCTCTTTGCGATACCTCCGGCCCAAGGCAGTCTGGTCTGACCTTCGAGCTCCTTGTCCAGCGCAGCCGCGCAAGCCCTGCCTTCCTGGATGCCCCAAACGATGAGCGATTGGCCTCTCCTAGCATCTCCGCATGCCCACACACCCTCCACGTTGGTCTTGTACGGCAATTTGCCCTTCTGATCGTCCGCCTTGATGTTCGAGCGTCCATCCACATCCACATTCAGCGCTTCGAAAGCCTTCTTTTCAGGCGACAAGAAACCCAACGCGAGCAGCACCAATTGGCACTCGATCCTCTGCTCCGTACCTTCCACCTTGTTCATGGCCCACTTGCCAGCCTTGTCCTTGCTCCAAGCGACTTCTTGCGTGTGCAGAGCAACCAAGTTGCCCTCTTCGTCCTTTTCAAAACGAGTAGTGGTGGTGCTGAATCTACGAGGATCGGCGTGCCACTGGTCCATCACCTCTGTGTGACCGTAATCCGTACGGTGGATGCGTGGCCACATAGGCCAAGGGCAAGAGCTGTCACGCTCGTCGGGTGGACGAGGCAGCAGCTCCAAGTTGATGACGGACTTGGCACCGTGACGAACAGAAGTTCCAATGCAGTCGTTGCCCGTATCTCCTCCACCAATCACCACGACGCTCTTGCCCTGAGCAGAGATGAATCGCCCATCCTCCAAGCCAGAGTCGAGCAAGCTCTTGGTGTTTTGCGTGAGGAATTCCATGGCAAAATGGATACCGTTCGCTTCGCGGCCCTCGATGGGCAGATCGCGAGGCCAGGTGGCACCAGTAGCGTACACCAGGGCATCGTTTTGCGCGCGCAGAGCAGCCGGGTCGACGTCCACACCGACGTTGCAGCCAGCGACGAATTGGACGCCCTCGTCAGCCATCAGCTTGATGCGGCGATCGACGACGCCCTTGTCCAGCTTCATGTTGGGAATGCCGTACATGAGCAGACCTCCCAATCGGTCGGCGCGCTCATAGACGGTCACGCTGTGACCTGCTCGGTTGAGCTGGTCGGCGCAAGCGAGACCGGCCGGACCCGATCCGACGACTGCGACCGTCTTGCCGGTGCGGACCGCGGGTGGTTGAGGCTTGATCCAACCTTCGGTCCAGCCCTTGTCGATGATGGCAGCTTCGACGCTCTTGATGCCGACCGGTTGCTCTGTGATGCCGAGCACGCAAGCACCCTCGCAAGGAGCAGGGCAGACGCGACCGGTAAACTCGGGAAAGTTGTTGGTCATGAGCAGACGGTTCAGCGCATCCTTCCACTGGCCCTTGAACACCAAGTCGTTCCACTTTGGGATCACGTTGGAGATGGGGCAACCCGTGTCTGACTGGCAGAAGGGCACACCGCAGTCCATGCATCGCGCCGTCTGCTGCTTGAGCTCAGAGTCGGTGAGGCGCACAGAAAGCTCCTTGAAGTCCTTGACACGCTTCGTAGGCGCACGGTACTGCTCGCCCAAACGCTTGTACTTCATAAAGCCTCGAAGTTTGTCGAGCTTGGGCACGCGCGCCTTGGCCGTCTCGTCATCGATCATCGCATCTTCCACATCCCCCACTGCGGGCTCAGCAGGCTTTTCTTGCTGCCTGTTGAGTTCGGTGCGCTCCTCGCTGATCGAGACATCGACTTGCGATCCGTGGCGAGAGAGCGTGCCGAGCAAGTCGACGTGGCTGTTGCGCTTCTTCTCGGCAGCAGCCTTGGCAGCCTCCTCTTCCAAAACGCGCTTGTAGTCCAGAGGCATGACGCGCACGAAGCGGGGCAAGAGGTGGTGAAATTCGTGAATCACATGATCGGCAATGGTCGAGCCAGTGTAGTGACGGTGGTTCTCGATGAGGTTGCGCAGCTCAGCAATGTCGTGCGGGTCCTTGACAGGCCCAAGCTCGACCATTTCCGTGTTGCACTTGGGGGCAAAGTCACCGTACATGTCGAGCACATACGCCACACCACCGCTCATACCGGCGGCAAAGTTGCGACCGCAAGTGCCGAGAATGACAATGCGACCGCCCGTCATGTACTCGCAACCGTGGTCTCCGACACCTTCGACGACGGCGTGGGCACCCGAGTTGCGCACGGCGAAACGCTCGGCCGCGATACCCCTAAAGTAGGCATTGCCGCTGGTCGCACCGTACAGGCAGACGTTGCCCACGATGATGTTCTCCTCTGCCTTGAACTGAGAGTTCTTGGGTGGGTAGACGATCAGACGTCCGCCGCTCATGCCCTTTCCGACATAGTCGTTAGCGTCACCTTCCAGCTCAAACGTGATACCAGGGGCGAGGAAAGCGCCGCATGACTGTCCAGCACTGCCCTTGGCGTTGATGTGGATGGTGTCGCGAGGCAGTCCTTCTTCTCCGTACAACTTTGACACGCGGTAGGACAGAGTAGCACCCAGCGCACGGTCGGTGTTGACGACGTCGCACTCGATCTGAACGGGCAGGCCTTGCGAAAGCGCCGGCTCGGCCTCGTCGATGAATTTGTTGTCGAGTCGCACGTACAGGCGGTGGTCTTGCTGCCGAACCTTGTAGGTCGCAGCACCAGGGCGCATCTTCCACGCAGGCTTGAGCAGTGGGCTGAGGTCGAGCTTGGCAGTCTTGACGGTGCGCAAGCTCTCATCGACCTTGAGCAAGTCCGAACGACCGACCATCTCGTTGACGGTGCGCAGGCCGAGCTTTGCCATGATACCACGCAACTCTTCGACGAGCATGTAGAAAAAGTTGATGACGTGCTCGGGCATGCCTGCAAACTTGGCGCGAAGCTCGGGGTCTTGCGTGGCGATACCGACTGGGCAGGTATTGACGTGGCACTTTCTCATCATGATGCAGCCCATGGCGATCAGAGCAGTGGTGGAGAAACCGCACTCCTCGGCACCGAGCAAAAAGGCCATGGCGACGTCTCGACCCGTACGCAGTTGACCGTCCGTCTGCACGGTGACACGCCCACGCAAGTCGTTCAGAACGAGCGTCTGGTGAGCTTCGGCAAGGCCAAGCTCCCAGGGCAGACCGGCATACTTGATACCGGTCCAGCGCGATGCACCAGTACCACCGTCGTGGCCAGAAATGAGGATGTGGTCCGCCTTGGCCTTGGCCACACCGGATGCAACGATACCGACGCCGACCTCGGACACGAGCTTGACTGAAATGCGCGCGCGAGGGTTGCTGCACTTGAGATCGTAGATGAGCTGCTTCAAGTCCTCAATGCTGGTGGTCACGAGGGATGGAGGAATCAGCTTTTGACGGGAGCGGCTGCAACAATGCGCTACTCACGAGTAAATGTCGTGGTGTGGAGGCGGGCTGATCAGACCGACGCCTGCAGTCGAGTGACGAGTGCGGGCAATCGAGGCCGATACCTTGTGTCCTGGCAATTCACCACCCTCACCCGGCTTCGCACCCTGTGCCATCTTGATCTGCAGCTCGTCCGAGTCGGCCAGATAGTTGCTCGTCACGCCAAATCGACCCGAAGCAATCTGCTTGATCTTGCTTCGAAGCGAATCGCCGTTGGGCAGAGGGATGGAGCGCTCCGCATCTTCACCGCCTTCTCCCGTGTTCGACTTGCCGCCCAGTCGGTTCATCGCAATGGCGAGCGCAGAATGCGCCTCCATGGAAATGGAGCCGTAGGACATGGCGCCAGTAGCGAAGCGCTGTACGATCTCTGTCCAAGGCTCAACCTGATCGATGGGAATGGGTCTCGACTTGGTAAAGTCGAAGTCGAGCAATCCTCGCAGGGCAGTAGCCTTGACGGCGTTGTGCGATGACTTGGAGTAGTTGTCCCACGCAGCCTGATTCTTCTCCCGAGCTGCCTCCTGCAGGTTTGCGATGCTGCTAGGATCATTGATGTGAGCCTCGCCACCGTCTCTCCAGTGGTACTCTCCGGTCTCTGGCAGTCCGGGCACCGTGATGGTCTCGCGAGCGGGATAACCGCGGTCGTGGAACTCGAGGGCATCCATGGCCAACAAAGCAAAGTCAGATCCTTGAATGCGGGAAGCAGTCCCGACGAAGCACCTATTGATGACGTCTTCTGCCAGACCGAGCGCCTCAAAGATCTGAGCACCCTTGTACGAAGCGAGGGTAGAGATACCCATCTTAGACATGACCTTGAGAATGCCCGAGTCGACGGCGTGGCGCCAATTGTCGAGCATTTTTTCGACGGGGAGGTCGACCTTGAGCAGACCTTCGCGTGCCACCTTCATGATGCTCTCTTGAGCGAGCCACGGGCAGATGGCGTCGGCACCGTAACCAACAAGAACGCACATGTGGTGCACCTCGCGAGCCTCACCCGACTCCACGACGATGGCGACGCGGCTGCGTTCCTTGTTGCGGATCAGGTGATGGTGCAAGCCACCAGCGGCGATCAAACTGCTGATAGCAACACGGTCCTTGTTGACAGCGCGGTCGGAGAGGACGAGCACGCGGACATCCTCGCGAATGGCTCGAGATGCCTCGGAGCAGATGCGGTCCAGCGCGTTGCTGTACCCGTCGATGCCGTGACCCTTGTCAAAGGTGATGTCGAGGGTGCGCGACTTCCAGTCTTGATGCGCAAGCTCGAGGCGCTTGAGGGCGTTGCACTCCTCGATGGTCAGGATGGGACTCTCGAGGTGCAGACGGTGGCACTGGTCGGCGCGCATCTCGAGAATGTTGCCTTCAGGACCAACGTACTGCTCGAGCGACATGACGACAGCCTCACGAATGGGGTCGATGGGAGGGTTGGTGACCTGAGCGAAGAGCTGCCTAAAGTAGTCGTAGATGAGACGAGGCGCCGTGGTCATGCACGCGAGCGGAGCGTCGTTGCCCATAGAGCCCAGAGGCTCCTTGCCCTCGGCACCCATAGGAAGCATGAGCAGGCTGATCTGTTCGGCTGTGTAGCCAAAGGCGAGAAGCTTTGGATCATTGGACAAGCTGGACTCGTCCAATTTGGCAGAGATGGAGTTGCGCGTGCAAGAGCGCACCGTGTCGACGATTTCGGGAAGCTGCAAGAGCTGCTGCTCGAGCCAGGCGCCGAAATCGTTGCGCTGAGAAGTCGTCAGCTTGAGCTCCTTGTCATCAATGACGCGACCCTCGACAGTGTCGACGAGGAGCATCTTGCCTGGTTGCAATCTGCCCTTTTCGATGACGCGAGCTGGGTCGATGGTGACGGCACCGACTTCAGAGGCGCAAACCATGACGTCTTCATCGGTGATCAAGTATCGACAGGGACGCAGACCATTACGGTCAAGGTTGGCACCGCAGTACCGGCCATCAGCAAAGGTAAAGAGCGCAGGACCGTCCCATGGCTCCATGAGGCATGCGGCCCACTTGTAAAAAGCCACCTTGGCTGGGTCCATGTTGTCCTCGTTGCCTTGCCAAGCCTCGGGAATCATCATCATGACTGCCTGTGGCAGCGTGACGACGTTGTTGATGACGAGCAGTTCGAGGACGTTGTCGAACGCAGCAGAGTCGGAACCGCCGGCCTCGACGATGGGACACAAGAGCTCCAACTCGTCTTTGAAGGTCTCGGAGCGCAGCTGTCCCTCTCGCGCGTGCATCCAATTCTTGTTACCTCGGATAGTGTTGATTTCACCTGCGGAGGATCCTTGTGTGAGCAAGATGTCGCTCTCAAATTTTCCGCCACCCCCGCCACTCACCATTGTGGGCTGCCCACCTCATAGGCTGGGCACGATCCCAGGAGGGAAAGGTGTTGGTGGAGAAGCGAGAATGCACGAGAGCAAAGTGACTTGCGTACCAAACATTGTTGAGGTCATAGTAATAGTCGTACACCTGACGCGGGCTGAGCTGACCCTTGTAGATGATGTTGGTGTTGGAGAGGGAGCAGACGTAGAACCACTTGGGCAGACCGATGGCGTGCGTTGCGCTCTTGCGCAGCACGTACAACTGTCTAGCAAAGTACTGAGCGTCGAAGGGCGCCGTTGGATTTTCGCAAGAGTTGCTCGAGCCGAAGTGATCGGCCAACACGACAAAGGGCTGAAGGATCTTGGGTTCCTTGCTTAGCGCCGCTGGACCGAGGATGGAGTTATCCACGGGCACTTCGCGCCAACCGAGCACCCGCAGGTGCAAGTCGCGCGCGAGGTTTTCAAAGTGGGCAATGTGAGAAGCGCGCGCCTTGTCGTCGCGAGGGTCGAAGAACAGGTTTCCGACGGCGTACTGGCCTTGCTCTGGCAGCTCGCAGCGCAGATCAGTGAGCACCTCTCTACGGAAGAATGCATCTGGGATGCCAGTCATGACACCAGCACCATCTCCATCCCTCGCATCTGCACCCGTAGCACCGCGGTGGGTCATGTTGCAGAGTAGAGGCTTGGCGTCCGAGACGATCTTGTGCGAAGGCTTGCCCTTGATCTGGCACATGAAGCCTACACCGCACGCATCCTTTTCGTTCTCTGGGTCGTACAAGCCTTGAGCTGCAGGCAGAGAGCCGGCCCAGGAGGTGGTGGCGCGCTCCACCTCGTCGTAGCCGTTTGCGTGCAGGTCGCTGGACGTCATCATCTCCTCATCCTCGCGCATGGCGGCCATCTCTGCCTGAAGCGCTGCATTGCGCTCCTTGCGCGACAGCTGTGGGCCAGAGGGAGCCGAAAGAGAGGAAGTGACAGTCATGGTGGTGTGTCGTTCGGCGCGCAGGCGCCCAACGAGTTTGGAAGAGGGGAGCGAAGAGGGAAGCGCTGTCGAAGCGCTGAAGGAGGAAAAAGTCTAGACCGGAGCGAGCGTATGCGCTGCGAGAAAAAAAAAAAGTCCAAACCGGAGCGATTGTATGCGCTGCGAGGACGATGAAAACCAATGGGTATGAGGGAAGAAGAGAAAAGAAAGAGGTCTATTGTGATGCGCAGGTGGTTGCGATATGAGGAGGCGATGGGAGCCTGCTTGCTTGCTTTTGAATGGACCGCCAAAGAGTGAGCGGCTTGCGTTTTCGTTTTTCGAGTGTGATCTATCGTTGAGCGATGACTGATGGACGAGGGTCGAGTGACAGCAAGTGCGTGAGAGGGACCGACGAGATGGGCTGACTGGTCTGGGGGAAGAAGGAAAGGGAAACCCCTTTGCGGCCAAGAAATTATACCTCCCTCGCCCTCGCCCTCGCCCTCGCCCACCAACTTTTTCCTCTTTTCGCGCTTGGGCTTGCACGGGGAAGAATGCGAGTCGTTGCTGCACGCACGCACGCACGCGCACAGGCAGCCATGCAGCCATGTTGAGGCGTGCCTTGCAAAAGCGGACTACGCGATTGAATGCCACACCGCTGCGCTGTATGCGCTTTCTCTGGTTGGCTGGATGGCCTCCATGCGCGCGCGGCCATGCAGCAGCAGCAGCAGCAGTCTCACGAGTCATCTTCCCCGCGCCCGCGTGGGCTTGCAGTGGCGAGCTTTGTGACAGCTGCGCGGGCGAGCCTATTGCATGGCTAGCCTTGTGTCTGACTAAGATGAGCTCAGGCAGGCAGGCAAATCGGCACGGAATGCATGGCTGGCAAAGGCCACACTCGTGACTTTCCTTGACTCGCTCGCTCGCTCGCTCTCTCTCTCTGCCACCGATCGACTGACTCACCAAAATTCGGCCTTCCAATCCTAGCTAGTGTAAGACAGGTCCGGCACCTTGGCCCAGAATTTTGGCGGTGCCTGTGTGCGCGCAGTGCAACAGCTGCGCACTCGCCATGGGCATCATCTATGCATAACCCAAATCAGACAAGGCGGCCGGCCGCCAGTCAGTATAGTCAGGACCAGAAATGTCATTCACATTTCCGATTTCACGATTGGCCGCGCATGCAAAGCCGAAGCCGAAGCGAAGCGCACCTTGGATTCGGGTTCCCGCTGCTCTAGATCTGCCGTGTAGGCTCATCAGGCGCTGGGATTTGGTCATCTGAGCGTTAGATATGCATCTACGACCTTCCGCATGCATGCGTGCGTGCGTGCATGTGATGTGAGTGCGTGTCCGTCGAGCGCATGCAGCAGCATCCGCGCTTACGGAGCAGTCCTCATTCTTTCCGCTTTTGCCCGTGCATGCAAATCGCGCGCACGTCAGCCACGCCCGCATGAACTCGACTCCCCATAAGCCACTCTTGTTTGCAGATGATGATGATCACGGCGCCGTGAGGCGTCGCGGGTACGTGGCCTTGCTCCCTACAACGCCAGGATGCAGCTTGTTTTGGCGACCTTTGCAATGCCGAGCCGGTCCATGCGCCTCGCTTCCTTCGTGTGTGCACCTATTTGTCAGCCCGCCTCGTCTTTCCTCAACATTCCGAAGCCTGTCCACGTGGGTCTCGAGACTGCATCGCGAGCATATCACGTGTGACTTCGCAAGTCTTGCTCACACAGCCCAAGGAAGAGCATACATTTGGCCGAAACATCTATATACATGGCCCATCTCTTTGTGATTCGCTGACTATTGACCTCCGCATACGAAGATTCATCAATCTCAAGGCAGCATTTGAGCAACGATGATCAAAGCCGAGTTGCAGACTGATTTGACTCGAAAATAGAAACGCTATGCATTCACTCGACGTACGGCGACCAAACAGTCGTGAGTAAAGCCTTGTGGTATAAACTGACGCAACGATGAAGATGGAGGAGGATGCGTTCGGGTCAATGGGCAGGGAACAGAGACCTGGCGGGCGCTACGGTTGCTCGCTAACATGAGCATCAGACGCTTGCGAGTCCTGTGCGGCCCGCATTGGCTCCTCGCTGACGGCGGCGGGTGCTTCAGAAGTGGAGAGGGTCATCGGCTGACTCAGGTAAGGCGGAGCCGGAGAAGCAGGAGTGGAAGGAGATGTCGAAGTCTCATCACCATGTTCAGTATGTTCAGTAGAAGCTTGCCCATCCGCACCGTAGCTCGAACCGCCCCTCCTACCCTTCTGCCTCCTCTTTTCCTTCCTGTCCAACCTCTTTTGAGCCTTTTCTTCTCTTTTCTCTCGACGATGAGACTTGACTTCTTGCTTCTTCTCGTGTCGGCGCTCCTTGGCTGCTTTGCGAGCTTCGTGCTTTGATGGACGCGATGATTCCTCTGCAGCTTGTGTCACGTTGTTGCTGGCAGTCGAAGCGGATGGATGGGACAGGGTCGGTGTTGGAGCGACCGTTTCAACATGGCCAGACACGGGCGCGGTAGTCGCAAGAGTTTGTCGTTGCGTCGGCGCGGGCACCGGCATCGTAGGCGAGATGGAAGAGGCGGCAGTGGTCGTCGGGTTGGAGTCCAAAGGGATATTGTAAGGCGCAGGAGTCGTCGTAGATGATACCGGTGTGTCAGCAATGGTCATGACCGGAGCATTGATCGCGTCAGCCAATCCGGCCCCTCTCCTGCTGCTGCGTCTTCTCTCGATCTTCTCACGTTGCGCTTCACGTGCCTCTGCCTTTTTGTCTTCGTGCTTGGCCTTGGAAGCTTCTCTTCGAGCGCTCTTTTTCTCTGCCAGATGAGCCCTTTTTGAAGCTCTCGCCTCGGCCTTTGCATCCAGCCTGGACTCGCGCCTCTCGTCCTTGGCTGCTCTTCGAGCGGCTTGATGCTCTGCTTTCTGAGAGCGATACTGCCATCGTGCTGCAGATGCTTCGTGAGATGCGCTGGAAGCACGACGCGGGTGAAGGGTTTAGCGAGGCGAATCAAGAAAATCCTCCGCAAGCACAGGGAGCGCATACACTCACCTCCTTTCCTTGGCTTTGGCAGCCTCTGCGCTCTCCACGTCGTTGAAGCAGGAGCAGGTCAAATTGCAACACAAAGCTCCTTTCCTCGCCAAGCTGAGACACAGCAGTCCGCCCAGAGCCTTGTTCAGCTTGGTCAGCTTGAACATCGACTTGCTCTTGCTCGGAGCTTTCTCCTGTGCGGGAGCGGATTGACTACCGCCAAGGAACGGAAGCGACATCTTGATGCGTGGGTAGGGCGAGCTGAGAGAGAGAGAGGGCCCCGAGTGTCTTGACGGTACTCGTGAGAGCGAGCGAGCGAGCGAGCGAGATGGGAATGTGCTCTACCTTTATGTTTTAATAACAGACTCGCTCAGCACGCAAGGCCCGAGAGCTGCTTGCTGAGCGAGCCTTACACCATTCACATTCGTAATTCGCAGACGTACCTTTCGCCCGCCGGCTTCGCGTTGATCGCTGGAAGCTGCGACTGTGTGACTGTGTGACTGTGTGACTGGGTGACTGACTGATGACGCTCACATCGCATCACATCGCAATAACCTCACTTGCAACGAACGCTAGCTCGATTCGCCTGAGCCAGATGGACAGCTTAGCGCTCAGCAGTCGACAAAGTTCCACGGTCAAAGCCCAAATTTCCAGCCAAGTTGTGGGGTCGGACTTGAGCCGGAACGTGAAAGCTGCGTGTGTGAGGCTCACGAGATGTGGAGCGATTTAAGGGCAATTATGCATTAGAGAAATTCGAGAATATTGTGTGCGCGCCTCACTCATATGAACATCATGTCGTGAGTCACGAGTCGTGAGTTGTGAGTCGTGAGTGGCGAAGAGCTGGACTCGCCTGCCTGTCTGCCTGCCTGCCTGCATCGTCCAACAGCACGCACGCACGCACGCACGCACGCACGCACGCATCACCGCCACGAGCTCAAAAAGTTGGTGCTCGCACAAGCTTTGCGTCTGCGTTTGCGTTGCGCCCTTCTGCAGCGGCCGTACCACACACTCACAGCACTCGCGCGCGCGAGAAGCCATGCGCTCAGGCCTCTTCCTTCTTTCTCATCCATCGTGACGCTCGTGACTGCAAACCTGGCCATCGCCCATCACTGAGCTTCACTCGAGCGTGCAGCTGCCCGACTCTCAACTACACAGACACACCTCTTCATCCCACACCTCCGTCTTTGGCTTCAATGGCGTGCATCTAGACCACAGCGAGAAGCATCATCCAAGTGGGAGCTGCAACGGCATCATGTCTCTCGGCAATGCGCACACCGAATCAGCAGCGATGAGCCGGCCGGGCTCGGATCCCCTACGACCGCACTGTGATCTGCGATTGCCCTCATCTCGTCACAGCAACAGCAATGGACTTGCCGCTGGTCTTGGCCGTGCACCAGAGTTAGAAGAAAGCGCTGCTTTGTTGATCGCAAGCTTGCACCGAGCTGCAGAAGTTGCGCGATTTCAATGGCGCACACAGCAAGCCGCTGCTGCTGCTGCTGCTGCCGCCAACGCGGCTTCTGCTGTGAGCAGCACTCACGCGAGAAGTGTCGCAGGTCGCTACCACCCCATAGGCTCTAGCATCCAACGTGCGACACGACCATCCAGCGATCAGTATGCTCTATTGCCTGCCGCTGCCTCTCGCTCTCTCAGAGCAGCTCAGGGTGGCGACCGTGCGGATATGCTCAACGCTGCTGCAGCTAGCCGCTCGGCACGACGTACGGACTGGCTGACGGATTCCGATGATGAGACGAGCGAAGATAGTTGGGATGACGATCAGGAAGATCCATCGAGTGCTGCCATCATACGTGCCACTCTAAATTCGGCCAACAGGTCGGAGAACAGGCCAGACATCCCACCAGCTCCCTTGCGCGACCAGCCGACGTCAGAGCCTGGCGCCGCTTCTTCTTCCTCGACGTACCGCGCCCTGTCCGGCTTTCCAACGGATGAGACGGAAGCTCAGGTATGGGACAGAATGGTCGAGGAGTTGGCGCGCACTTCGTCGTACCCGCCATCCAACTCCAGCATCGCAGCAGGAAGCATAATTTCTGGCCGCACCGCATTTTCTCAAAGGCAGCTACCGCATCCGGTTTGGGCTAGGCGATATCCCGGTGCGCCCGGCACCTGGCTGAGAGCCGAACTAGCAAGACGATCAGCCAGCACTCGCGAACGGGAGCGCAACCCTGCAGATTCCTCCACTGGTATCAGGCCCTGGGACGAGCTTCTGCGTCGCTCCCAAGAGCCCGAGCCCGAGACCGAGGCCGAACGCGCATCTTCGCAAGACACCCATGGAACCGTGCGCATCCATGCTGGTCCTGCAGCCGAAAGGTCGCCTCCAAGCTACAACATCCGCACCACCACTGTTGGCGCACTCTTGGACGCACAAAGCGCGGAAACGGTGTCGCAGATGGAACCTAGCTGGCAACGGTGGGCTCGCACCGTCTCGACTCAACGACCGACCGCTCAAGACAGTAATGCCGTGCTACGAGTAGCCAGAACACCTCCAGACGAAAGACCCTCCACTCGTGACAGCGACGTCTCTCGGAGAACGTCTGTCAATGAAGAAGCGAGACGAGTCGCAGCTGCGACTGAACGTGTAGCCCGGCTCGCTCAAGTGCAGAGACAGCGCCGGGAACAGCGCGACGTTGCGCTTGCTGAAGCTCGAGCAGCGGGCACGCTTTCTACGGAGGATCACGGAGCAAGAGAACGGAGTCGTGCTTCTCGTGGTGGGCTAGCTTATCTGCAGAGACTGCGCGAACTGGATGGGCTCAGCCCTTCGCACGACTCTTCTGACGCAGAAGCTCCTGACACGGCGCCAGAAGCTCGACCTCACGACATTTTTCCGTGGTACGATCCGCCAACTCGTGGCGGCCCAGCAGTGCGAAGCGCAACTTCGGTAAATTGGTTCGAAGCGGCGCGAGAGAGGCGTGAAGCGCAGAATCGAGCGGCCGAGGAGGAGTTGGCTGCAGCAAATGCAGCGCGCGAACGATATCCCGGTGTGCCAGCTGACCTTTGGGCCGAAGAAGCGCAAGAACAAGAGCCCGGTCTCGATGATGCGCAAGTCCAGCCTAGGGTGCGCCCACAACGAACGGGTGCCGAGCAGCGTCATCGCAACCGTACTGCTACTGTAGTGGCCTCTCCTCCGCTAGTGGACAGCGGAATTGGTGAAGCTGCGCGCACCATGCGCACTGTAGGCAATGGATGGACCCTAGTTGGTGAGTGTGCAACATCCAAACAGGTTTCAAATGTGAGCACGCGTTGACGGGTGGTCGCGTCGCAGGTCCTCCGACTACCTCGGAAGCGGAGGAGGCACCATCGATGAACAGGTCAGCGTCGCACACCACTTGGCTCACTGGCCCCGCTCAGCCCTCGCGCCGCCTCAGCGCCTCTCCTCTGCCGCTTGAACTTCCGCTCTCTCCTCCCATCCTTCCCAGCGCGACGGCAATCTCTCAGCCAGGCTCTCAGCGACCAGCCTCTCCGGACGCACCGGCCAACGACCCACGTCTTCTTAGGCGTCCCCGTCGCCTGCCAAGTCTGACGACAGCCGAGGTCGAAGCTTCGGGCGTTCGCAGCGGCACTGCTTCACCGACTGACGACGCTCCTGCGAGACCGATGCCTACCTTTGGCACGCCGGCCAGGAGAGCAGAGTACTTGGGAATGGGCAGCTGGCGAAGATCTACGAGCCCTGGTGTACAGGTCATTGACGGTGATCTCGGCCGAGCTGAAGGCGGTAGCTGGAGCAACTCTGCAGCTGCAGCTGATTTTGAACGCCGAACGCGCGAAAGCGCCTCTGAGCAAGACACTTCCCCAGTACCCTCGCCAAACTCGATCGCAGATGCTGCAGAGGAGGCTGCAAGCGTCGGCGCTCTTACGCGACTCACTGGGGCAACGTTGGACAGCATCGAAGGACAGACCACGCCACAGCTTCGTCCACCACCTAGCGGCGCGCGAGGCGAAGCATTGACGGAGCGTGCACGAGCGGCATTGGCGCAGAGTCGGCGCTTGCACGACGTTGGTCAGCGCCTCACGCAAGAGCTCTTGAGCCGCGAAGCTTCCCTTCGACACCGAGAGGAACACTTGCGTGCAGAGATTGCTCGGCGCAGAAACGCGAGTGACGAGCAACGCCGACGTGAAGGTCGCATCGGTCGCGTCCTCGCACCTGACGAACTTGGCGCCGTCGGCGCAGTCGAGCGCGAAGGGACAACTTTGCTCGTACGAAGACGTACGATTCGCGACTCTGCGCCGGGTCTGCGGCCTTATCAGCGCCAGGATCCTCGTCGTACTCTGAGCACGCATGACAACTCTTTGGACCTCGCTACGCCAACGGTCGAGCCACCTACCAGCTCCGCGAGAGTCGGCGCCCCTCAAAGCCAGGTCGATCAAGAAGACAAGATGTATGAGGGTGGAAACGCCAACGAGGAGCGCGCCACAGCTGAAACATCCAATGCAGCTTTACCAGACTCGTCGCATTCTGCGTCTCCCTCGATGGCGAGCACTAGCCGATTAGAGTCCAGTACGATTTCCCCCTCAATCCCGTTTGGATCGACATCGCTCGTTCACGCGCAAGACGTCTCTGCGATGCCGGCCTCGGCAGTGGGCCTGTTGCAGACAGTCGATGAGGTTTCGCGCTCGCAGTATATTGCGGCGACTTATGCAAGGCTACGCATGTGGGAACGTCGCGTGCCGACTCAGCCCGCCCTACCCTCGACCGAAGGCAGCGAGCTCTATCCGCTTCGCTTTGAGCTGTTTGCCATTTCGAACACTGCGCCAGAGAGCACGTCCGAAGACAATTCTATCCTGCGCGCCCACTCTCGCAACCTGCTCTGGAATGACGACACTGCCGTCACTTTTCCGCGCTCGAGGAATGTAGACATTGGCCTGCGCTTCCTGGCCTGCGTGCCAAGCGCGTCTGGTTCGCGGCCGGCAGGCGATGTAGCTGTGTCCGAAGCTGTTCGAGCTGAGCGCGACCTCACCACACCTCTGCTGCAGCAGGGTGGCGAGCCAGGGCGCTCGACGTCGGTCAGCGCCTCGAACGTTGCGTCCGCATCTCGTCCTGCGGCGCCCGACCTGCTCAGCGACTTTCTGACGGGCTCACCGCCGCGCCACAGACCTCACCTCACCACTCGTCAGATCAACCTGCTTTCCCGTCTAGTAGCGGCCCGAAGCGCTGGATCGCGAGAGGATCGGCTAGCAGCGATCTCCTCATTGACTTCGGATGAAGTGGCAGACCTTCGAAGACTGTTCTCATCCTCGACATTGGAGGAATTGCGCACTCGCGTTCAAGCCACGCGCGAGGAGCGATCTGGATCACGCCACGCTCTCATGGACAGCGCTCGAGACTCTGAGCACCGATCCGCACTGCATCGCGTCGCACGAGAGGCGATCAACAGCGCTTCTCACGCCGGCGGTGTGCAGCTCACGTCGGCTCAACGCGCTCTGATCGAGCAAGTCGCAGGAGCATCCTCCACGCCGCCGTCGGCCGAGCAGCTCCCTTCGGACGCGTTGCAAGATCTGGCTCCTCTGATTGCCAGCCGTGCGCGATCGATAGCTCAACACGCTGTTCGACATGTTGGAGAAGAATCTGTGCTGGCCCAGACACCTGTGTGCACGCTTTCGCGCCTCATCGTCAAAGTTCCACGCCGAGCTGGACGATCGGCAGCCAAGGAAGGACTTGTTTTCGTTAGCCACCGACCCATCACTACCGCCATGTTGGAGCGCTGGAACGATTGCACGCAGACTGAGCTCGAAGCTGCTGCGCAACGAGAGGGATTCTGCTTTGCCAGCAACGTCGCGGAGGAAAGCACGGGCAGACGAAACGCGAGCCCGATTAGCACATCGTCTGCTGCGAGACGCAGTACACCCAACACGCGCGACAGGTGGGACGACGATCCGGAGCTGGGAGTTCCTCTGGCTTTCCAGCTGGACAATGCTATGCGACCTCCGACGGCCACTGAGCCCGCCTTTCTCAGGGATCGAACAACGCTTCATCCCGTAGGCTTCTTTCGCATTCCGACCTCAGCGACTGCAACGCTAGATTTTTCCGCAATGGCGCAGCACGTCGTGAGGTCCGACACCAGGCGCCAAAACGGCGCTGCTAGCAGCGCGGTCGAGATCAGCAGCGGCGTTTCTGGGAGCTACATTGCAATCAAGATTCTGAACACGCACGAGAGCGACCTGCCCTCGTCTGCACGCAGGCGGCAAGATGCTGCTGGTAGCGCACAACAATCCACTTGCGCCGTCCAGTGGATCGGAGCTCATGGCGTTGCTGGAGTGCGCAGCAGCGCAACGGGAGCTTGGTTCGATTGATTTGAAGGGCTTTTTGTAGATAGGAGACGAGACACCCTTGCTTCGGAAGCACTTTCGACCCTCGCTCACATTCCACTCACCTTCATGTCACCCTCTTTTTTGTCGTGAATGCGCCGTCAATACGCCTTTTTCGCAATTTCATGGTCATCAACGAGCTCATTCACGTTCACCATGCTTTTGGCGTGTCAATGCCGGCGTTGGCTTTCGATCGGCCCCGATTTCTGACTGATGACGCTCGGACACCCGCGTACAGTAGAAGTAAATCGATGTGAGTCACGAGTCATCTCGTACCATGTGCGTTTGAACAAGCGACATTCCGAGTCACGTGATTGCTAGGCGTCGCCGTAGATCGACCAAAGCTTCTCGACTGTTCTACGCGCTGCTAGACCGCTCTGGCGCCTTCGAGGAGACGCATGCATGTGAGATGTTGGGCGCCCGCGCGCCAACAGAGTTTTCGAGAGAGCGTCGCGGCTCGTGGCCGTGCAGAAGCCGGGCCACAGCATGCGCCTTTCCTCCACTTATTGCGCGGTGATTGGTGCATGTATGGACTTTGCATGCATGACTTCGCGCCTGCGCATGCGTGATTAGAGAGGCGATGGGCAATTCTATGCGCGAATACAACAATGCAAAGCTTCCACGGCCATCCTCGTTCTTCTCGAAATTTTGCGTCACCAAAAGGGCTCGGACCACTTTTGCGCCCAGCCAAGGTCGCTCAGACGCTTCATTTCGTACAAGAAGCAATGTTGTCCACACAGGAGCAAGAAACGCTTCCTTCCTCTTACCAAACACTACCACACCAATATCGTGATATACGAATCACATATTCACACACGCAAGTCGACACCACTTGCCCCGAATCAGCTAGACTGCGATCACAGCACCCAATCTTACAGCGTACACAGTCTATTCACCATGACTAAGGCAGTCGGTGAGTTGATGCGTCCCAGACGAAGCCGCCAATGTGCTCATTGATTGACGATGCCAATGCCCCCTCCTCTTCTGCTCGCCCAGGAATCGATCTCGGCACCACGTACTCTTGCGTTGCTGTCTGGCAAAATGACCGAGTGGAGGTCATTGCCAATGACCAGGGTAACCGCACCACTCCTTCATACGTTGCTTTCACAGACTCGGAGCGATTGATCGGAGATGCTGCCAAGAATCAAGTCGCCATGAACCCTCACAACACTGGTGAGCACCGACGACGCTCTTGATTCAGCCTGAATGAGCCCCGTGCTTACACTCGCCTCTTCATCTTGCAGTCTTCGACGCCAAGCGATTGATTGGACGCAAATTCGACGACGCAGAAGTGCAAGCAGATGCAAAGCATTGGCCGTTCACCCTCGGCAACAATGGTGGCAAGCCCGTCATCAAGGTCGAGTACAAGGGCGAGGAGAAGACGTTTACACCAGAGGAGATCTCATCCATGGTCCTGCTCAAGATGCGCGAAACCGCAGAGGCTTACCTTGGCGGCACAGTCAAAGACGCCGTCGTGACTGTACCTGCATACTTCAATGACTCACAACGTCAGGCTACCAAGGACGCTGGTATCATTTCTGGTCTCAACGTGCTCCGCATCATCAACGAGCCCACCGCAGCTGCCATCGCATACGGTCTCGACAAGAAGTCCGAGGGCGAAAAGAACGTCTTGATTTTCGATCTGGGAGGTGGTACCTTCGACGTGTCTCTCTTGACTATTGAGGAGGGTATCTTCGAGGTCAAGGCCACCGCTGGTGACACTCACCTTGGCGGCGAAGACTTTGACAATCGATTGGTCAACCACTTTGTCCAAGAATTCAAGCGAAAGAACAAGAAGGACCTCACCTCCAACGCTCGCGCTCTCCGTCGTCTGCGAACTGCTTGCGAGCGTGCGAAGCGTACCCTGTCTTCTGCGGCTCAGACCACCATCGAGATCGACTCGTTGTTTGAGGGCATCGACTTTTACACCTCCATCACTCGTGCTCGTTTCGAGGAGCTGTGCGGCGACCTGTTCTCTCACACCATCGAGCCCGTCGAGAAGGTCCTGCGCGACTCAAAGATCGACAAGTCGAGCGTTCACGAGATCGTCCTCGTCGGCGGTTCCACGCGTATCCCTCGTGTACAGAAGCTGCTCCGAGACTTTTTCAACGGTCGCGAGCCCAACAAGAGCATCAACCCCGATGAGGCCGTCGCCTACGGTGCGGCCGTGCAGGCAGCCATTCTCAGCGGTGACACATCCGAGAAGACTCAAGATCTCTTGCTGCTCGACGTTGCGCCTCTGAGCATGGGTATTGAAACCGCTGGTGGTGTCTTCACTGCTCTCATCAAGCGCAACACCACCGTTCCCACCAAGAAGAGCGAAATCTTCTCCACCTACGCCGACAACCAGCCCGGTGTGCTGATCCAAGTCTTCGAGGGTGAACGTGCACGCACGAAGGACAACAACCTGCTGGGCAAGTTTGAGCTCACCGGCATTCCTCCTGCTCCTCGCGGGGTTCCTCAAATCGAGGTCACCTTCGACTTGGATGCCAACTCCATCCTGAACGTGTCTGCCTCGGACAAGACCTCCGGCAAGTCTGAGCGCATTGCCATCACCAACGACAAGGGCCGTCTCAGCAAGGAGGAGATCGACGCCATGGTCGCCAACGCTGAAAAGTACAAGGCAGAGGATGAGGAGGCAGCAGCGAGAATTAGCGCCAAGAACGGTTTGGAGTCTTACGCCTACTCGCTCAAGAACTCTCTCAACGAGGAAGGCTTCAAGTCCAAGCTCTCTCCCGAGGAAGTGGAGAAGCTCAACGGTGCCATCAGCGAGACCATCTCCTGGCTCGATGGCGCTCAAGAGGCAAGCAAGTCAGAGTACGAGGAGCAGCAAAAGACGCTCGAGGGTGTGGCGATGCCCATCGTCACCAAGGCTGCTCAAGCCGGCGGCGCACCTCCTGGCGCTGGCGGACCCGGCGGCTTCCCAGGTGCTGGCGGCGCACCAGGTGGCGGTGCCGCACCTCCCTCTGACGACCTCGAGGTCGACTAAGCGCGGGGCAATCTGTAGCACTTGCAGTCTTCTCTTTCTCTTTCCCCTTTTCGCACGGTCTCTCTAGTTTGACGAGCCGTGATGCGCCGTGATGTGTCTGTTTCTGTTCGCTCCACACACGACACGCCTCTGCACACGAAGCAACCCTTTTGTATCAAGTCACGCTTCTTTTAGACTTTTCCACACACACACATCCAAAAAGACGAGACCATAGCTTTGCGCAAAAGAAATGACATTCTGTGAAAAGATGATGTCTGCCCGCGTGTCTTGTGAGATCGTGCTGACGTTGTCGCATGGGGTAGGTACACTTGACTGCGCTTCCGGTCGAGAGCGGGCGAGCGCGAAGTGAAGAAGATGATCGCGGGTGCGGGCGTGTGAGGGCAAGCCACGTGCTGTAGGCGCGCGGCACTGCATACACGCGCCCGCCCGCCCGCCTGCGGTCCAGGCTTCAGCTTGACCATCATGGAGTCGTGGCCTGGATGACTATGACCTGATTGGTACCTTGTGTATGCGGCGCAGAGGTTCGCTTGCGATGGGGGGTCACGGAGCTCCCAATTACCTTCATTCCGGAAAGACCCAAGACTGCTTCTGCCCCTTAACCCCGGCCCGGCCCTTGCGACCACGATGCGCGCATGGGAGCGCAAGATGAAGCATCATCACATGGATCTCGAGGAGCGCGAACTGGGGCGCGCGCTCGACGAAGCCGCCTTTGCTGGGGGGGAGGGGGGTCTGAGCATGAGGCGGCTGCTTCAGATGACGCTGTGGCCGGTGATGCGGAAGGATGGCTTGCAAATGTGAAGGGAAGGAAGCGGAAGCGGAAGCGGGACCTTGATCCCACTTGGCACGCAAGATCGGCTTTCGCCTTTACCCTTCCGTCGGAAAGCGGCACGGAGAGATGAGACGGCGGTGCATCCATCCGGTCAGGCACTCGGGTTATTACTGCATCGTACCCGTCGAGGTACCATTCAGCAAGCGGACATGTCCGCCCCCCCTCCTCCTCTTTTTTAACCAGCAGGCTTGACGTCTAACCCTCGGTGAAGCGCGGGTCCTTCATCTCGCCCAATTAACATGCTCAGATGAACACCGTGGGTCTGATCGTTGCGACGGAGTACAACGCGGCGAGGCGAGGTGCTGTATGCACCATGATCACGCTCATGATCACGCTCTAGTCCACATAAGCCTTCGAGATGGGGCTGTGACGCAGAAGCTACTTAAGGCGCTCTTCTTGATACTCTACATCGCCGCAACCTGGATCCGTTCAGCCACCGCACTCCAAGCCCCACGTCCACTTGAACACCCCCTCATCTCCCCGATAAATCTCCCTCCTCACTAAAAGCAGCGATGCCAAGACGACGCTCACTCGTCTTGCTACTTTTTATCACCTGCATCTCGGCGCTTCTTGCCATCAAGCCAGCGCGAGGGGAAGCCAGCACCAAATGGGACGCTTGTCAAAGAGACCTGAAGAGGTGTCCCCGTGGCACCGTCGCCGTGCGCAATGCGGCTCAACTCGATGCAGCGCTCAAGCAGAAAGCCAAAGTCATCTTCATCACCTTTGATGGTCAGCCGGAACGCTTTTGGACGGATCATGTCGCTGCTGCAGCGTCCGCTGCCGTCGATGCTGGCCAGGCTGAAAAAAAGGTGGATGATGCTGGTACAGCAAAAGATGGTCTTGGTGCCTCGACTCCAGATGCCTCCACCAAGACGGCAGGCAAAGGCTTGAATTTGGCACAGCTCGACGCTGCCAGTGAGGACACGCCAGACGATGATGAGAAGTTGGAGACTGGCGGTGCCCATGTTAAAAAGACGATGGGCAAAAGCTCGAAAGCAGAGCAACTCGATTCGGAAAAGGTCGAACAGAAGCGTGATCTCACACTGGGCAAAGACGACGAATCGCTGGACGCGACGGAGTCCGAATCGAAAGACGGTGGACAGGCGACGAGCAACAACATCGAAAAGACTGAAAAGACCAGCGAATCGGAAGGGAGCCGGGCTAGCACGAATGCCGGACTCGAAAGGAGTGGCGTCGATGCGCGAATGAGACACAAGCGCAGCGCCATTCGAAAGCGACAGCAAGCTTCGCAGGGTAAGGCTAAGGAGCCTGATGCGAATGTCGACGATGAGAGCAAGAGGGCCAAGAGTGGCTCGGGAGAGAGAGGAGGCATGCCTAGCGCACGTGGCTTTGTCATCAATTATCCAGTGATCATCCTGGGTCAGCTGGTGGATACGCCACAGGGAAAAGGTTGGCCAATCATCCAGCGCAAGACGGTCGGGGCGGATGAAGCGGTCTTCACCATCAACGTGTCTGGCGGAACAGTGTCCCTGCACGATTTGGAGATTCAACAAATGCAGAATACGGAATTGATGAATCGGGGAGGTGATCTACGAGTGGAGGATCTGAAACCTGCGCCTGTTGTCAAGGTTGGCAGCGGCACCAAAGCTCTGTTCAGCAATGTTGGCACAGAAGGATGGCTCAACACGTTCATTTGCGAGGGACAATGCGCATTCTTTGGAGGATTGATCGCTGGTTCAGCCAACTTTATCGTCGGTGAGTGGTCGACCCCGCACACTTTAGACACTGGCTCTTCGGGACTGATTCAAGGTGATGTATTGCTGCTTCGGCTTTTCCCCCTCGGCAGGCTCGGGCAAAATGTTCATGTGGGAGACACTGATCAGCGTCCGAGCTACAGGATCAGCAATTGGTATTTGGGACGGTGGTGCTCTTGCAGTCAACATGGCGGTCATCGCGTCTGAAGAAGGACAAGCGCCGAGCGCTGGAGATGGTTCTTACCTCGCAGCTCCGCTCAACAACCACGGCTCTTCTGCTAAACCCATCACCGTCTCTTTTCAAGACGTGGAGCTGGCGGACAACACCATCCTTCCTGCATTGTGGCAACAGACACCTGCTTTCAAAGCTCAGCGAGGTCAAGCTCCCAATCCTCGTTTCGTCCATCGAGGATTGTTCGGTGCTGGCTTCAAGGGGGACCAGAAGGTCGATACGGTCCTGGACGCGACGCGCCTATTGAGCAAGGAGGAATTGAGAGGCTTTCAAAGCAGACGTCAATTCTTTGGTCAGGATTGGTGCAAGACTGATCCCATTGCGGATCTGGGTCAAGCATTCTGGGCTGATCTAGACAATCCCAACAATTGGCCCACGGCGCGCAACAGCCGCAAGGGTGGGCGCATGAGCGGTAGCAAAGGTATGGGCGTAGAACAGACAGCTGCCCACAAAACCTCCAGTCTCGATTCGAATCTCGGCTCTGCGGAGAGTGGCAAAGGTTCTGGCGACGGGAAAGATACTGCTCAGGTCGAGGGCCCGAAAGTGGCAAAGCATACGAAACCCAAATCCAATTCTAATGCTGATTCCGATCCCAACCTCGACGACGAGAACGACGACGGCTGAGTCTTTTCTTGTCAGCTTGTCGAGTCACAAAGTGGAACACGCCTCGCGACTCGATGTCCAGAAAATTTGGTCTATTTTGCGATCGATACGTGTACAACAAAGGAGGGGGGAAAACAGACAACAATGGGCCAGCGTCAGGCTAGCCCGGTCCGCTCCATCTCTTCGCGATCATCAGCATTGCATCGCACATCGGCGTATCACTTGGCCTTGCTCGCCGAACCCTTGCTCAAACTGCTCAGAATAGCCTTTAGCAACTCTGCCAACCCACTAGCTCCCGCCGCCTGTATCCACTCCAAAAAGCCGATTCTCAAATCCAAAAAGTTGCTCTGGCCCGGTAGCAGGCCATTCTTTTTCGCTTCTCTAAACGTCCCGCTCGTCACTGGTCCGTGGATGGTGCGTTTGATGGCAGCAGTCGAGAGGGAGCTGGTCTTGCGCGAGCAGAGCTTGTTGAGGTACGTCTCCATCAATCCCACAAAGGCCGGTCCGTGCGTCAAGCTGCCGCTCAACATCGCGTCGAAACCGCAATCGTCGAGAAGCAACTTGACATGTCCAACAGTGGCCGGTTTGAGCGCTTTTTTGGCCAACAAGCTGATCTCCGCAGCGCAGCCCGCTTCGTACTCTTCCTCCTCCTCTTCCGCCTCTTGATCTTCAGCCGTGCCGGGCGCGGATGCGGCAGCAGATTCGTCCACCTTGCCATCCTCCAGCAATGCAAAAGCCTTGTTCCTCCACACAAAGTCGGCCATCAGCACCACAAAGGTGTTTAATCGATTTCCCTTCTTTTCCGAAAAGTACAATTGCGCCACGCTCGACCCCTTTTGAGCGGCCGAAAGGGCGTCCGACTGCAAGAGATCTTGACGGGCCGCAAAAGCTTGACGGATGGATTGCAGGACGGAGCAGAGCCGGGACAAGGTGGACAAAGCTCCGACGCGCGAAAGACTTAGCTGCAGCAAAGTCGAGAGCGAGGGAATGACGGAGCTGTGCACTCCTGCGATGCTGGGCGAAGACAAGGTGTCGTGCAGGTGCAGCACGGCGTGTTGCACAGCGAGATTTTGCGGGTACTGCATGCAAGCGAGCGAGCTTTTCGTGGTTAGCCTGCGCAGTCGAGACCATCAACCATTTGACTCACCATCAACAGACACCTTTCGCCATACAGAGCTGCATAAGCAGCTGTGCGTCGCAGCGTTTCCTCATGATCCACCTTTGCATCAAGCAGCGTCAATCCGTAATAGTGTTGTCTTCGATTCGCAAAGTCCCTTCTTGCGCGTTCCCAGTCGTGCCTAGACCATCGTTGAAGCAGGTCAGCCAGCGCTTGGATGATCCTGGCATTGTCCTGCGCCGAAGTAATGCTCTTGGTGGATGGACCACAAAGCGGTTCCAATATGCCGCCACGGAAGCGAGCCCATGGACCAGGAGGCAAGAGATAAACGAGATCCAAAAGGATCAGGTTCGGCTCGCGACTTTGCCGCTCTTGCATAGTCCTAGAACCTATCGTGGCAGTGAGCCAAGTCACGGCGAATGCTGGCAGGCCCACCAGCGACCAAAAAGTATGGACCAGATCGACTAGTCCTGCCGCTCTTCGGGCTGCTGGAGACTGCGCGACGTGCCCATCAAGGCCCGTAACGCCCTTGACGCCCCTGGCGATTGCGGCTTCAACAGCGCCTGCGATCTCATCCTGCAGCCTAGCGCACGCCCATTTGGCCATGCGTTCCAGACCGGGCCTGTCGTCCGACGCAAGCAGTGCCAGCTTGGTATGGTGGTGTGCCAAACCAGCTGCCAGATGGGCAGGCAGAATCACCTGAGGAAGAACATGTCCAAGCGCTTGAAGCGATCTGGCCTCGGTAATGAGCGGCGACTTGCCCTGAGGGTGGCAGATGGGCGGTGGAACGAGCGCGGCACCTTTGAGCAGCGATTGTCGATTGTTGGATCCGTTGGAAGCGTTCATGGCACCCTTTAACAACTTTGCCCTCTTGCGACCGCGCGCAAGCGCTTCTTCTCGAGACTCTTCTCGACGCGATTCGGACCCTTCACCACTCGGATCGAAAGTGTGCGTGCGCGAAACCCTCTCTAGCCAGCTCGTGTCCGGATGTTTGAGCGGGGCCAACAAGCCGCCAGACAGCGCGACGGAGGGAGGTAGCGATGCAAAGAGCAACGATGGTACAAAGGTGCCGTACGTGGCCAGTAGGGATGCCAGGGCTACATCGGTGGGATGCAGAGCACGCAAGGCTTGGCTGACGGGAAAGCGCGCAGGTCGGGTCCGGTCAGAAAGGCGTGATGGATGGGGAAAGGGGTAGTGTCGACAGCACTCACAGCTTGGTGATGCGGTATGGCTTGACGTGCGCTCTGCGCGTCAGAGCAGAGAGCAGAGCGCACAAGTGTGGTCTATAGAGGAGAAAGATGGTCGTAAGCAGCGTCAAGCTCGGTCGCAAAAGTCAGCTCGATGCGCACCTTGGAATGGAGTAGTCTAGGAAATGGAAGAGGACGCCATAAGCGCGCGCCAACTGGGCTCGAGCTTGAGCGGTGAGAAAGGAAGCTGGGAGCGTTGTGGTCGACGATGCTGCACCCGACAAGGACGGATCTGTTGCTGCCCAGAGATTGGGCAATGTCGGAGGAGGTTCGAGCATGCAAAGAAGAAGGCGCAAGAGCGCTGCCTGACGCGCGTGGACGATCGTGTTGTTCCAGCGAGGAGGCTGGGCAGTCAGCGGGAGAGCTTGGGAGCGCAGACCCCATCACGCCCCGGCGGGCCGGCTACATGACTTTGCTCACCTGCACCCTGACATCCACCTCTACCCTCCTGCTCTCTCCCGCGACGCCATCACCAAGCGCTGGCGCTTTACCCAAACAAGCCAACACACTTCTGACAGACGCCCCTCTCACTCTTGCCCCTCTTCTCGGTACGGCGCATCTGACAAGTTTGAGCGCTGTAGCAGCAGCCGTATGTCGCGATAAGCACAGAGAGATCAGCTTTTCCAATTCGGACGTCGAGAGACCTTGCGAGGAGCTTTGACTTTCGAGCAGCGCGAGTTGCGCAGCGATAGAGTCGCGCGTCGAAGGTGTTGTGGCTTCCGAAAGCAAAGAAGCCAACTTGAATAGCGGCGAGTCGCGCTTGAGCACACCGGCAACGGGCGCAGAAACCGACGTTCGAGAAGTCATGTTGAAGGCAAAGAAGGCGAGGCGCTTCGTTGGTCAGAAGCGAAGGGTGAGATGGTGGAAAGAGGAAAGAAAGGCATACGCGGGATGCAAACGCTCTACTTGTGCGGGCGAGCGTGTTGATGGTGCCGGCGGTGTTGATCCTTTGCATGGCTGATGCGCGCGCGCGTTTCGTTCGAATTGTTGGAGCGCGCGCGCAATATCAAGTCACGTGATCTGCTGTGAGCGCATCAATTTCTTGATTCCAACGGTGAATCAAGAACGCACGCAGCTGCATTCACAAGCGCATGAATCAAAACGGCGTGATCGTGTAGTGTTCGAGATTTTTTGTTTTTATTTCGGGAAAGAAGCCAGACGCGAGGAGTCAGATGATTTGTAGAGGGACAATGGGGGTCGCAGTGAGATTTGCGAGCGAGCGATTAGAACGCTCAACCCACGGCGGCGTACTTTCCCGTTCACGACAGGGGAACGAGAGACGTGTGGGGCAAAAAGACGGGACGGTGGAGGCGCATCGATTGTCCCCGTCGTGTTCCTCGAGTCAAAGTGATTTGGAGAGCACTTTGCGAGCGACGAGCAAAGGGCTTGTGTGGAAGAGTTCAGGAACGGGACGCGGCCGATGAGACGCGCGCTCGAGTGCAAGGCGTCGATCATTTTTTTTTTTTTCCCGTGCTTTGGTGCATATGAGTCAAATCTATGCAAAGTGACTTGGAAGAGGGACTCGGCATCGACGAGAAATGATGTCCGGAGCCTTGCCGACTTGATTTTCCAGCACGGAAAGGGAGTCAGAACGGAGCAGCGGTGCTCTTTTGCGGGATGATGGACGGGCCGGTCAGAGATGAGGCCGAGTGGGCAGGTGGGCAGGTGGGCAGGTGGGCAGTGCAAGGGTTGATGTTCTTCCCTCTGTGAAAGTCTTTGTTCGTCTTCCATGTGACTGCCATCGATGACATCGAGGACATTTCCCACGCAAGCCTAGGCAAAATGAGCAGGAGGAGGCGCGCCTCTTCCTCTTCCTTGTCCCCTACCTCTACCTCTTCCCCTTCCTTTTCCACCCCTCCCACCTCTTCCACCTCTCGGCGCCGATCCCACTTCTCCAAAAGTGCTCAGATTCAGACGCTCCTCTGCCAATCTGTTGGCTCTCGCGGTTCCCCTACCTCTACCGCCTCCGACTCCTTCATGAGCCCCGCCTCTGCTCTCTCCCGCGCCGGACGAAGCGTTTCTTGCACCTGCACCCGCAGCGCCCGGAACCCTTTCGTAGCGCTCCTTGACCTCGCTAGAGATCGAATCGAAGAAGCTGGTAGATTTATCGTAAAAGCTCTTTGGCTCTGCAGGAGGTGGCGGGATGGAGTCCAGTGATCCTGCTCCTCCCCCCCTTTCATTTCCATGGACGACGCCATCGGTCAAAAGTCCCACACTGTCCACCTTGGGGGACAATGCGGCAGCTGCTCGATCCTTTTCAAACTTGGCATTGGCTGCTGCAAAGTCGAAATCCGCATCCGGTACAGCGATGGGCGAACGGTTGTCGAATACCGATCTACCACTTGCTCCTGCACCTGCGCGAGATGCATTTCTCTGATTGCGCGGAGAAGTGGCTCGCGCTGCATTCTTCCCATTCGTGCCTTCGACGGATTGTTGTTGACGAGCAGCGGCTGCTGCGGCGTGAGGAATGGCTGGCAGATTGGAAGGCGTCGTCCCGCTTGCTAGACCCGTTCGAGCAGTCGTGCTTGGCTTGGAAGCAGCAGATGCCGGGGCATACGATCCTTTTTGAGCTGCAGAATTTACTGAAAGGTTGGCCATGGACGAAGCGAGTCCATTGGTCGTCGTAGCGATTGCTGGGGCAGCAGATGCGACGGAGGGCACGGGTACGGGAGCAGCGGCTGGAGCAATTGTCGCTTTGGGTGCGGACGCCGGCGCAGTGGCAGCACTAGCAGCGGATGCCTGCTGTGGCGCTGGCGGTCGTTGAGATGACTGCGGGTAGAACGAAGCCTGAGTCAGCCTCGCGTAACCCCATCGAGCATGGTCTGCTACCACACCCGGGGGGTTCATCCTCGCCCCCCACCACCCGGAGCATGTGCCATCTCAAACTGCGCACACTGCGCCTCAAATCCACTCACACTTTGAATTGCAGGATCGACAAAAGCGGGAGGGGCATCAGGTTGAGCCTTGATGGGGTTAGGATCGTCGATTCTCAAGTCCTTGACATCTGCCGCTCTAAAGACGATGAACTCGTACGTTCCATCCGAAGCTGGCATCTCATCCTGAGGCCTACCTTGAGCGGCCAATCGACCCTCTGTTCCGCAGGCTTTCACGTGTTCCAACGAGATTGTCGCTTCTTCGGAAGATAGAGAGGCTAATCTGCCTTGGTAGCGCACCTCCGACTTGGAGGTGAGGCTGATGAGCGCTCCGATAAAGTTGGCCGCCATGATGGGCGAGGCAGGTGCAAAGGGCCTGCGAGGAGCGAGCAGAGAGGACCCCTTTTTTTTTGCTCTGATCGAAACCGCTGCTGGAAAGATTATGACGTGCAAGCGACACCGAGATGGTGGTAAGGAGCGATGATGGTCGGATGCGATTGCGCTGGAGGATTGGTTGATTTGTGCATGCTGGCTGGCTGGTGCGTGCGTGCGCGCGAGCCATGCACGCACGCGAAGATTCGTTGATACACAAGCGATTGCCAGCGCGAGGTTTGAGCGATGACTGCACGCGCTGTTTGTGCGATGAGCGAGTCACTGCTTCACGATCCACGCGTGCGCACGTCGTTCCCCCAAGCAACCCCGGCAATCTCATTGAAACCCCGCTTGCACACCAGCCTGCTCTACGTACCACACATCAATCGTCCCCAATTCGATTGCCAGCCTCGGTAGAAATTTTTTGGCTTTACGTGCAGTGGCCGATGCAGACACTTCACTCAAAAGTCAAAAAAACTCTATTCGAAGTCGGTCAAGTTGGTGTGGCGGTGTTACTAGAGACGGCAATCATGAACAAAGGCGCTTCATGAGTTGAAACTCACGTGCAGTCAGTCGGTCGGTCCAAGTGGGTGTGTTATTCGAGAATGGCAGGAATGGATATAGGGCGCGTTATGATTACTTGATCTTGGGAACCCGATCAGCAAATTGAGTCTGGGACTGCGTTGACATCATCTTGTCGCGCGCTTGCACACACACCCCGCCGACAGACTTTGTGGCATGAACATCCTCGATACGAATGACATATTTGGATACCTTCTGGCTTGCACGGCGAGATTGACCGAACGAACTGCTGTTTCTCAAAAGCACGTGAGCGAGAGCGAGAGCGAGAGCGTGGCCGGAACCGCGCAAGGATTGAAGAGATGTTTGAAGAAGCAACAATCAAGGCTATACTCGTGACTGCTGATCACGATCCATCGAATCATCGTGAGTTACGCGTCGATTCAGGGAAACCCGCCGGCCGGGTCAACGTGGTAATGATTCGCAATTCATGTTCACGTGTTAACACTCGAAAGGCGCGACGCGTGATGCGCGCTTGCTGATGCTTCAGAGGCATGATAATGATAGCGGTGCGGTTTGAGAAGGTTCCGCCGCAGGGGCGAAGCGGGAGCGGGAGCGGGGCGGGGCGGGGCGGGAAGCATGTGTCGATGGGGTTCTGTAGCTGGAATGTCAATGTGAACATCAATGGTCAATGGCGATGGCTCGATCTTTTGGATCGAAGGTCTCGCTCCTCGCTCCTTGCTCCTGCCTCGAAACACGCACACAACACATTCACGTTCGCTGGGCATGCTCCGGTGCAGTGCATTTCTTCAAACTCACAATTCGCTTCAGCACCTTGCCCGCGTCTAGACTCCGAGGCAGGCGAGCATAGTCGACCGACTTGGCAAGTTTGACTTCGACTAGCGATCACGGACATCTTGCTTGTCGGATGCCATGCCCCCTGCCCGGCGTAGGCAGGATAATCACCTCCAGTCACGCTCCACTAAGTCAGCAACAGCATCAGCATCGTCCAGCTTCATCGTTCCTGATGCTGTCACCAGCACCAGCACCAGCACCAGCACCAGCACCATTGCAAGCCGTCCACCTGCACAAACTTCCCGCTCACGCCGACCCAAAGGTGAGAGAAGGACGAGGGCAAGGGGCAAAGGGAGAGCGAGGAGTGGAACGAGAACAAAGAGAACAGCTCCGAGCTCGTCTGATTTGAGCTCGAAGGAGAGCAGCGCGGAGGAGCAGCGTAGTGATTCTTTCGCATCGCCTTTTAAGGAGGCGGATGAGAGCGATGGCGAGGAAGAGGAAATGGCATTGCGAATGTCGGCTAGCATTGGACGCAGACGCAATCCTTCCAGAAGCATCGTCTTCTCGTCAGATGAGGATGAGAGCGAGGGCGAGGGCGAGAGCGAGGGTGAAAGTCAGGGCGAAAGCCAGAGTCGGAGTCCGGGTCGGCGTCAGAGTCAGAGTCAGAGTCAGAGTCGAAGTCAAAGTCAAAGTCAGGGCGAGAGTGGAGAAGAGGAGGAGGAGGAGGAAGAGAGCGAGGTGGATTGGACGAGCAGCAGCAGCGATGGAAGGCTTGAAAATCAGGTTCGAAGGAGAAGAGCAGCCGTCATCATTCCAACTCGTGTACGACAAGCAGTGTCGAGTGCGAGTGCGAGTGCGGGTGCAGCTCGATCTTCCAAAATGGCGGACGATGCTCGAGCGAAGACAAACAAGCTTCTGAACGGCACCACCACCTCCAATCAACAACAACATCAAAAACGACCGCAAGCCGCGCCCTCAGCTGCTCGTCCAGTCTGGCCAATCTTTCGAAACTTTGCACCTTCCAACTCCCATTCCACATCCGCTCCTGCTCCTGCTCCTGCTCCTGCTCCTGCTCCTGTCAATGCGAACTCGAATGCAAAGACTGAACAATCTTCTCAAGGTGCAGCGCCACCTCGCAAAAGGCAAAAGAGGGAATTGCAAGGATTGGCATTCTCTAGTCCGGGACCCAGGATGATGGCGAGCAGCCTCGATGGCGGCAGCGCTGCTACACTCGATCAAGAAGGGGCGAGCGGTGCAGGTGCGGGTGTGGGTGTGGGTGTGGGACGTAGGAGCAGCGCTAGAAAGCTTGCGCATGCCGCTCCCAAGCATGATTCCGTCAAAGCTGCTGCTGCTGCCCAACAGCATCAGATCAACGCAAATCCACTCAAATCCTCGCATTCCAACACACTTTACACCTCCAAATCCATCACAATGGCGAATGCGAACGGCCACCCACAACAACAACAACAGCCATCTGCATCGACGCGCGTCCGCCGCGATCCTGCGCATCAGGACGATCATGCGGGCACTTTGCCCAACAAAAACGTCGCGGCGGTGGCGGTGGCGCAGGCGCAGGCGCAGGCGCGTGCACAGGGCGCGGGTGCGAGTGCCAGTGCGAGTGCGAGTGCGAGTGCGAGTGCGAAGCAGTCATACAGCAAGAAAGAAAAGGTGAGCAGCAAGCTGTCCGCGATCACGACCACAACCACCTCCAAATCGCCATCGAGATCGCGACGCACATCCTCGACCTCAAATTCAACGCTCCACAACGGCAAGGCGAGACCTAGCAGAGAGAAGAGACCTTCGTCCAGGACTGGAGATCCTCAACTATACTTGCTCGCTCCTACCAGTCAGACTCGATCGACCTCACCCGCAAAGGCTAGGGACGCATCTGCGTCTGCTGCTTCGTGCACCTCTTCTACCCACGACGACGGCGAGGTGCGAGCGTCGACTGACCTGGCAAAGCGAAAGAAATGCGGGTCTGGCTCTGCTGCGCGCACCAAGAGCAATCGTCGTGCTGGTGAGAAAGCTGCGCGGAAAGGATTGCCACTCGGCCTGAATTTCGATTCGTCGGAGGAGGAGGAGGAGGAGCATCGTAGCAGCGACTCGCAAGATTGCTCCGACGAAGATTTGGCTTTGGCTTTGCCCCAATCGGCCCGTTCTTCATCCGCCTTCATCTCTCCATCTCCTTCGCCCTCCGCCTCTTCCTCTTCTTCTTCTTCTTCATCTCCCTCATCTTCATGGGCCTTCTCCCACTCATCTCACTCGCAGCCGAGACAGGGGAAAGAGGTCCAATTGGTGACGACGACGACGACGACGACGCTAGAGGATCTGCGCGAGCTGCGTCTGCGACGCATCAAGCGCGAGCTGCAGAGCGTGTACGAGCTGCACGACGAGTTGCTGAGAGAGTGCTTTCATTTGGAGAAATTCGTCACGCTGGTCGGCTTTGATCCGAAAGTGAGTCTATGTTGCGAGATGGAGGGGGGGGGGGGGGAGACTCGGCAGGAGCGTTTGGGACTGTTTCCGGTGCGAGGTGGGGACTCGGCAGGAGCGTTGGGGATGTTTCTGATGCGAGAAGGGGA